AAACACACCCAAAAACACTCATCAAAATGTCTTCCTATAGACACCATCTCTCCAAAAATATCAACTATCTTCTCTATTTACTCAAATTTTATTAATTTTATATTTCAATACACCTCACTWTTTCAACCAAAAACACTCTCTTTCTTCCTTTTACTCAAATTTTAATAATTTTATATTCAAAGACACCCAAAATATGTCACCATTACTGATGCTATGATGTTCTAACTTGTCTTTTGGTACACTTAATTCTCAGTGGCATGTGATTAGCTTGTAGCCTTTTACACATATTCTTCCACAATAAATTTGTTATACGAGAGGAAGTCACGTAATCAAAGAACATAATGATTCCAAAACTTGTATGAATAAATCAGACAAAACAAGTTTGTTCATTTCTCACTATGTATACGATAACAACAAGAAATCACACAACAACTTGTAAGTTGTAACAACACCTTGCCTCTCAATGTGTTTTGTGAGTCCTGAGTCTTTTTTATCCAACTCAAAAGTTTATTTAACAAACTTCATCTAAACAAAAGAGAGAAAAACCAGGAACACATATTTGACTTATATATAGTTAACTCAAGCATAGAAAAATCAAAAGGAATTTACTCAAGCATTCATAATTAGATGGGTTTAAGAGAAAAGACATGCATCAGAATTCCAAACTACTAGAGCTCTATATCTTGAGGTGGAACCCAGTAAGGGGTATCGTATGTAGACAGTTTAGTGCAGACGGTGCCATTAGCCAGACTGACAGTTGCGGATTCGTCAACAATGTTAGGGCACATGCCAGAAAAGGAGCTAGCAGGGACACAGAAAGGTTCGGCCTGTACATGATAAGGTTCGGCCCTATAAATATAGATCTAGATTTAGTCTGCTAGCTAGATTTATTTTACTAGCTAATAAGGAGTAGTGATCACAATCTCTTTCGTATAAGTTGACAACGACACATATATGCCAAATGAGTTCACATGGTCCGTATGTATATTATTAGGGCCTGAATGTATTTAATTTCATTACTACATAAGTATCGGCGCCTACGCGGGTGATTGTTTATTTATAATTTTTTGGTCAAGTTTTATGACATGCTATAGAAACAAATAAAGTTTATTAATCTAGTGACACGTGTATATATAAACAATCTTTATTAGTAATTGGCTAACTTTTCCACATACGCTAAAATTTAAGTCCATTCCCCTTTCCAAACCTAGATGCTTGAACGTCGCTTCCTCTCTTCTTGGCATTAATTAAGCCAAAAACATTGACCGACGCTCAAGATTATGTGTTTCCGAACATTTTTTCCCTCAATAAATTGATTTCCAAGCACAAACATTCCATCTCTCAACTTCTTCTTCTCTGTTTTCGTCGATTACGTCGGTTTTGTGTTGTATCTCGGTGAGTTCCTTCCACAATCTTCCTCCGCACACGTCTTTGTAATATGGGTTATGGGCAAAGTCTACCTTAGTCAATTTTGTGTGTGAGGTTAGTGCGATTTTGGTTTCACATATATCCTTCTTTTCAAACTAGAATAAAAATTGATTTTGGCGTTGTTCATTCTTTACAAAACCAATCACATACGTATATTTTATAGAGTTTTATCTTTTGGAAGGACTAAAGGTTAAGCCATGCTTCCGTTTACACGTAAGCCTCTGTTACCGATATCATTTGGGACACACCATTCAAAACCTTGCGAATCTGARCCATGTTGACTGYAGCAACAAGGGTKGAGGCTTRTGGATGKAAGKTTTCCCCTTGAKGAATGATGASAAAAATCCACCGAAAGGTTATGGATTTGCATCTCATCTTATCGATTACTTCACTGTTCTTAAGTACCCTCCTAAGTTTACTCAAACCGTACACGGTCTTCTTTATAACTTGTAGTGTCAATGATGCCTTCTTCAATGTCTGAATGTTCCAATTCTTTGGTACTTTCATTTTCTCTAAAATCAATGTTTTTTTTGTCTCAATGAGGTTAAGAAGTTGGTGGAGGAGAAACCGTGTAAAAAAAAAGAAGCAAACAGTGATGAAGAGGTTGTACTACCGATCCCATTGCCGCCAAAGTTCACAATTTTTTTCTACAACGGGTAAGACTACATCACACCCCTTCTTTGTTCCCATGATTAGCTGAAAATATTTCTCTAGCACCGTAGCTCTTTAAAATGAGGCTCAATCAAAGGTGGTCAATGCTCTAAAACTTAGTTGAGAGGACGTGTGGTAGAAAAACGAGGGTATGGAGTTTTCTTACTAATACTTACAGCTTGTTGCTATACGCTTTTCCCCATAGGGCCTGACCGTAGCAGCGGG